GAAACGGCCATATCCAGAGAAGGAGCACATGAGTATACAATAGTGTCATCAGCATACATATGATGGGTAGAACATTGCATCTGATTACAAATATTGTTTACATATAATAAAAAGAGCAAGGGCCCCAAAATAGAGCCCTGTGGAACTCCCTTCTCCAAGGTGACAGGGTCAGAGACAGTACTACCCAACCTGACGCATTGAGTACGGTTGGTTAGATAACTCTGAAACCAGCAAATGGCATTGTGACCGAAACGAGACACCAACATAACATTAGACATAATGTGGTGATCTCCAGTGTCAAATGCTTTGGCTGGGTCAATAAACAATGCAACACAAACTGATTTCATATCCAAAGCAGCCTTAATATCGTCTAAGACTTTCAGACTGGCAGTCACAGTACTGTGCTTTGATCTGAATCCAGATTGCATAGGGTTGAGGATGTTGTGTGAATTTAAAAAAAGTTTTAGCTGAGTAGAGACTAGGGACTCAAGAATCGTTGATAACACAGAAATATTTGAGATAGGACGATAGTTATTCAACTATCATCAGGGATGCTGGGATCACCAGCTTTCAAGAGGGGCGAGACCAGAGCTTGGTTCCACACCACTGGTGTACACCATCGTGTAGGAAAGCCTGCTCAGAGAAGTGTTTGAAGCAGCGCCTGAGCACAATAAGGCCCTTGGCTTTGGGCAACTTAGTGCTCCTAACGCAAGCGATATCATTAGGAAAAACACCAACAGACACATACTTATGAGCTGCATTTGTTAGAATGACATCTATAAGGGTATCGTTATTTGGGTTCCTGCTTAAACTGTGAAGATTTATCACTTAGCCAGTCCCAATTTAAATCACCCAATAAAATGATTTCAGAAGAAAACTTAGACAACAATTCAGTAAGGCTAGTAGTTGCATCCATGAAGGCCGATGGAGGCCTATAACAGCCAATAACAGTGAGAGGAGCATTTGCTATAGTTATTTGGACTGCTAGCAACTCAAATTGCCTTGAAATTGAAATTGAGTGAAGGACAGAGCACTGTAGTTTCTCAGCAGTGTATATTGCAACACCACCAGCTCTGCCCTTACGATCCGCTCTGAATACATTATATCCATCAATGTGAATAACACTGTCAGTGACAGACGGTTTTAACCAGGTTTCAGAAACAACAACAATATCAGGCTTAGCAACTAAATACCAGGTCTTGAAAACATCTAATTTGGGCACTAGGCTTCTAGCTTTAACATGCAGAAAACCCAATCCTTGCCTACAGCTAAACTCATTCGGAGTTGGCAAATGATGCAAGGAAGCAGAGAAACACTCAGGACCCGGGTTAATGTTAACGTTACCAGAGAGTAATAGCAGTAACAATATTAACAGTCTGGAAGATGATTTTTTCACATGGGCTCTGGACGCGTCACTCCTCAGGGGGGGCGGGGCAGCTCCGATCCTTCGATATTAGCGAGTCCAGAGTCAAAAGAGCAAACGGGAGAGTGCATTTTGTGCCATGAAACGTCAGCTTTTGGTAAAAACTATCCGATGGAGTCAGCGCTCCAGAGGTTCCACCATCCGAATGTCCGAAGTGAACAGAGGCATCGCTGGGAGGCAATCCGTCAGTTTTGCCGACATACGGGCTGACAATTAATCCCAGGAAAAAAGCGAACACAAGGGTAGCTTTAGGCAACATTGTGCTGCAACACACCCAATTCAGGATCCGAAGCTCAGGTCCGAGCAGCTCAGGTCGATCAGCAGCTCAGGTCGACCAGCCCCCGACAGCACGGCAGGACAGACAGCAATCCAGAGTCCGAAAGAGTGACAGCTCAGGCAGAGAGCAAACAATCAAGTCACAGCGAAGCACCGGCACAAAACGACTCAAAACAGCCCAAAAACTTTTAAAAGCTTTTAAAACGTTTTTAAAATCGCAGCAGACCAATTTAAAAACGGGTCTAAAAAGCTAAATAAAAATTATAAAATGTCACTCAAAAACTGAGTAGCCAATCGGGACGCACCCCTGAAAGTCCCGCCTACTTGGGACGTTTGTGTCTGAATCACAAACAAAAAATGAGGGAGCGCAAACGAGAGAGCTGCAGCGAGAGCAAAAGTCTGATCATTGAGAAAGAAGCAAAGAGAACTGCAAACAAAAAATACATGTTATAGCAAAGAAAAAAGACTTATAGTTTACATGATTACACAAATGATTTGTTTGCAACTTATAGTTTTATTTTTGGAATACAATTTATTTAGCTTGACTCAGTTTTTTTTTCTCTTAAACTCTTAGTTTTGCTTGATTCTGAGAAAGTGTCTTTTATCTTTATGAAACAAAACTAACCCCATACCAACAGCATACAAACGAATTAGGACACAACCTACATTTTTATATTATAGTTAATACCAACCTTGTGCCTCGCCCTCTTCGGGGGGTGCTACATTTAAACATAAACTGTATCCTTTACTTTCTTCATCTTTATATGTAGATTAATCTCCGCTCCTTTTCTCCGTCACGTTGTTTCCATAGTAACAACAACTTCCTGTCAACAGCGTAAACTCGCCTTCAAAATAAAAGCATCTAAATAACAGTTAACCAAATTACATTTAAGACATATACAACTGCAACGAAAGTAACAAAAACAATGTAATATCCTTTTCAGTTTCACAGAACACAAATTGGGTTATTTACAATCGTTATGTAACTCTTTTATTGCACTTGGTAACAGCAACAATAGGTTGTAGCATTCAAACCTGCTCATGGATTTAGTGGTCCTCACTTTTTTAATGTCTCTCCAACGAGTTACGCAGGTGCTTCCAGTCTACATATCCATCCCTCGTGAATGCACCTTCAGCTCCTGGGCTGGGGAAATGTCTGCACATTTTGCAGAAAAGCGCGTCCCTACTTGCGCTGTATTCCACCCAGGGAAAATCTTCAAACCACCTCAACCACTTTTTACCGGAAATGAGTTCCGTTCAGAGGATAAAACACATACAACATTAATTCAACTCGATATTTGTTCACTTGAATTTCACTTTGAATGCTTGGATATTCTCAATGGGTGAATACAAAAATGTTTAATAATACAAATTAAAAAAATAAATAAAAATTACACCGAAGTTTTCTCAGGGCGGGCCAATGTGTAAACTGGGTGGGCCTGGGCCCGCCCTGGCCCTATGGTGGCTATGCCACTGGTGTGAATCCTTTTTGCGGATCATGAAATACAAGTGTGAATCCTTCTGTGTGCATTTGTGTATTATGAGACTGTTCTGATCCCATACTGTTGTTCTCCTGTTCGTTTTTCCATTGCTGTGGTTTGAGACACGAAACCTTGGGACACTTTCGAGTTCAGACAATGGGACACATTCAAGTTCAGATAATGAGACGGACATACCCAACTTATGGTTAAAATGTGCCCTTTTACATTTGTTAGATCACATTAACGAATTAAAGTGCTACTTGTGACTAGCTGATGCTCAATCTCATCCTCTTCTTCAAAGTCACTGTCAGACTCAGAATTCTCAGAAATGTGATCCTCACATTCTGAAACCTCTTCCTCTTCCTCTACATCATCATCAAATGGTTCTCTCACTTACAAAATCATTTGCAAGGCCCTCTGAGCAGAGAGTCTTTTGGCCATCTTAATCAGTTGTGATAAGGACCCAAACTGGCGAAGCTTTATTTATTGTGTCTCACCCCAAATTTGCAACTGGGATAGAGTGGGAAAAAAATAAAGATTGACATAATGCGGGAATGTGAGAGCAGACAGGTGTCGGTGCCTGAATTGATCAACCATGTTGCAACCTTGTGCGGGAATGGCAGGGGCAGAAACACAAAAGTTTCACACACACACACACACACACACACACACACACACACACACACACACACACACACACACACACCTTGCTGAGCAGGAAGTATCTCCGGCTGAGCTGGAGGTCTCGGAGGATCCCAGCACTTTTTTTAATTGGGTTGTTTAGGCCATTAACTATTAGTGAAATTATATTAATGTTCATAGTTTAAATTATGTTGTTTTCTGTGTTGTAACAACTCTCCTTTACACATAGTTCTCCAATCACTTCTCAAAAATTCACCTTTTAGAGCTTCTAAACCTGTGTACATGATTTCTATCACCTTTCTTGTATTTTCCAACAGTGTATCCATACTTAACCCTGCACGGGTAAACTGAAAATAATGATAACACATGTGACAACAGAAAAAGAGAAAAAATAGTGTGACTTCCATTTGTGTTACCAAGCACCTAAGGTAGCTGTCCAACGTTTTCCATGTATGGAACTGAGCATGGATCCTAGGGTCTGCTAAGACCCAGAGCTGCAAGGTCTTAAAAACAGCCCTATCAAATATTTTCATCTAGATAGTTTGAAATATGATGTCTGATGTCTGGGAAAATGGCAACAGCGTAAAGGATGAAACAAAACAAAACACCATCAATACGTCACACCTCTTAAGTGCTAAAGGTAGTCCTAGCAACTGTACCAGATAATTATCTATACATCTATCTCAAAGATATAAGGAAATGTTTGATTTTTTCTCACGCTGAGTCAAGACAAATTCAAAAAAGCTTTATTGACATGCCCACATTTAAAACACACTATTGCCAAAGCACATTGACAATACAGATTTAAGACTGAAACAAGTGTGATAATCAAGTCCATTGTGTTAAATAGAGACATATCATCTTACAAAGCCATAAAGATTAATAATATTCTAAATGTATTGATCCTGTATAGATCTGTTTTACTGGTTAATAAAAAGAGAATAGCATGACATTGTTGTGAAAGCAGGGATCTTAATTTTAAATGCTGATAAACACAAATGTTTTTCCTATGAAGTACACTGTCTGCCGCTGATCATAAATATAAAAAGTGCACATAATTTCAAAGATAACTTTCAGGGAGGAGTTGTTCACTTTGAGAAAAAAAGGTGAAGTGGTAAAGCTGCTTTTTATCTGATAACAGCAGTGTGTTGAAGTGGAATACACCCACATTATATTCATACGGTTTTTATCTTTGTATGCATGCTCAAAGAAAGTTGCCATTTCCTGATCTAGCTATATCTAATTTGCCCATTTACTAAAGTTCTGTAATTAACTTCAAATAAAAGGCAGTTTACTTTTTAAATGAAACATGAGAAAATCCTGCAGTTAAAGTCCCATATTATTATTGTGATAAACATACATACATTTTTGTATTAATTTACAGCACTAGTTCTTACAGTATGTACAAAGTGGCTGGTACCTGAATGTTAAATACCTGCAATAGATTTGTACTCACATGGCCACAAGAGGTCATTGTTAGGAAACATACTGTATAACACACAGGCTATTTCACACATTTGAACAAGTTAGACCAATGCTGAGACTACAGTATTGTTGATGTGTCTGAATTATTCATTAATGTTTGACAGTTTTTATTTGTATCATATTCTGCTCAATAAGGCACCTTCAATATTATAGCTTTCAGGAACTGTGGGCTGATCAGCAGATGTTTTTAATAAGCTGTTTTTTTGTTGATATGTAAAAGGATGAATACAAATACTAATTTAATTGAGGCAAACAAAAGTTGGCCAAAACAAATTAAATGACTATTTATTTATAATTGATTTTAATCCAAAAAAAAACCCACTAAAAACATGTTATTTATCAATTCGAGCAAAATAATTCTTATTCATGAAATCAGACATTGTGTATAGTTTTAAATAACTCGATTTAAACTCAATTGTAAAAGCATGATTGCAGGTTTAGTATCCAAACAGACACCAATGTCAAGCTTCTTTCTCACAGATCCAATGCTGATCGTTCGTACAGGGCCTGTCGTTCCAGCTTTGGGAGTGAACAATACTCCGTATTTCTACACAGTCCTCTCCGTCAAAATTATCAGGCTGTGCTGTGCTCCAAAACCTAACAGGTATTACAGGAAAAGAAGATTAACTAAAAGATTGGACATCAAATACAAATAACTATAAGTAATACAGCCATGTTCTTTTCTTAACATTCAAATTAATCTTCTGGTGAAAGGGGCAGACACCCTACGTTTAAATGCATCCTGTGTGTTGTGTTAACTCCCATTACAGAAACATGTGAAACATTTAGAAAGGTCACAACATAAACCAGCGTCTGTATTTAAAACCAAAGTAAAGCCTTACGTCAGATTCAGATTCAGTGGAGATCCATCCACCCATTTCCAGGTCCCCTCCTCTTCTGTGTCATTCAAACCAATCCAAGTTGGTTCCTTGATCTTGCTAGCGATGAATTTCTGTTCACATATTAAAAATGCAGTTTACTGGGATGGACATCAACATTCAGATAACTTTTCCCTTTTTACTAGCTCAGAAATATGTAATTAACACCATTGTTGTGACGTAATCATTATAGCTGATAGACACATTTGCTAGTATATGTACAATAAAAATATGATTGATTGATAAAAGCAGGAGTTATACAATCACAAGTGTTAGAGCAGCACACATTACCTGTTCTTCCTTACTGTCTACGATCACCAGATCTGCTCCTCCGGCTGTGCAGTTGTCTCTGCTTTGTTCCCAAGAACGTTTCTCAGTAGAGAGGAAGAGATAACAGGAACAACTGAACATCTTCCATCCTTCAGGACACGTTTTCTCTGTAAAAGTTTTAAGATCTTGTTGATAACTGCTGGAATATGGAACTCTTGAGTGCATTATATGTCACTTTTGTAATAATAATGAAAACAAATATTTATTAAGCATTTTTAGAGGGATCAAATGAGATCACACATTTCATTGCAGAACAACTATTCTCTTTTTTGGGATTGAAATAACTGTTTCGATGTGATCTAGTCAGGCACCACAGCACTGAGACTGATCTTGTTAAAGTCTTCAATGACATCCACTTAAACACAGACATTGGTTTGAAACCTTGTTATCCTTTATTATTATTATTATTATTATTATTATTATTATTATTATTATTATTATTATTATTATTATTATTATTATTATTATTATTATTATTATTATTATGCTGCAAATATCTGGAACAAACTACCAGTAAGTTTTTCTTCCTATTGCTTATATTAAAAGTAATTTAGACAAGGAAACTGGCCATAAGCATAGTTTACAGAGAAATATAAATATGGTAGGTGAAGAAAAATAAAACAAACTATAAAAGAAATCACTCACAACTAAGTCATTAAAAACTAATTCTTGATTATCATTAATGAAAAATGTCATTGTGTAACTATTTTATGAAAGGATCAATAGTCAGCCTTAGACTATCAATATCAAGGTATTTTGTAAAATATATTATAATAATTGATATCTTACCTACGCATACCGAGCCCTATGCAAACCCCCACATGAAGCACTGACCCTTACCCATCAAACACTGAAGCCTGTACTCCAGCCGGTTGATCCGCTGATCTCTGTCCTGGAGATGCTCAGTCAGGTTGTCTCTCTCTTCAGTCACTGAGGTGAGGTCTGCTTTGACAGCGGAGAGATCTGCAGCTGCACCACCTACTGAGTTATGGTCTGGAAAGAAAATAGATGTTTCTTATTACCTGATGCAATCATACTGACACAAACCAAAATTAATGTTTTCCTAATTTGGCCCTAGGAGAAAAGTAGAAAAACGATAGATGTTTTGGTCGAATGTGCATCTTTCAGAGCAGAATATTGCTCCTTAAAATCACACGTTCAAAATTACATTTTTAAACGTATTAAAAGAAAGACTCACAGTGGACAGCGAGGCCGATGAGTCCAGCCAGCAGGAAAACACCCAGCAGCCCCAGACCGAGAACAGACGCTCTGAGAAGTCTCCTGGGACCTGAACACAGAGAAGACCAGGGAGTAATACAGTAAATCCAAAATCCACAGTGCACTCTAACAGACACTCTTACCTTCTTGTATTGTTGATGATCTTGAGCTTAGGGGTTTGACATCGTCAATATTGGCATAGACTTCCTCCATTGCTCATGGGAATGCCAACTCTTTCCTGAAGGTCAGCTCTGCAGCAAGTATCCTGAAGTATGTGACTGGGGAAAGTGTGGTTGCTGGTTTGAATTTCTAAATGCTTTATATTTTTGAGGAAGTCGCACATAATTTGAGAAAGTCACACATCATTTTATATATAAAAAAAATTAGAATATCAGGAAATACTAATTATTTTGATATGACCATATTAAAAACATATACTATTGCCAAAGCACATTGACAATACAGATGTAAGACTGAAACAAGTGTGATAATCATGTCCATTGTGCTAAATAGAGACATATAATCTTACAAAGCCATAAAGATTAATAATATTCAAAATATTCCTGTAAAGATCTATTTTACTGGTTAATAAAAGAGAATAGCATGTCATCATTGTGAAAGCAGCTACAAATATTTTTTGCCGTGAAAAGCTGGCTCTCTTGATGGCCCAAGGCACAAGACGAACTGGTACATATTTAAAGAATATTATTCTGTTAATGTAATGTTAGTTTCTGAAAGTTGAGACAATTTAACTCACCTTTTGTTGAACTACTGTATAAGTCTTTCAGTCTCCCTCTCAGCTATCCACTCTCAGGTGAAAGCCGTACTGCCGATGCCAGCTGATGCGCCACAACACCACTTCAAGCCCGGTGACTAGGTAAATGGTAAATGGACTGTACTTATATAGCGCTTTAGTGGTAGCGATCAAAGACTTCAAGAGGAAACACTGGAAGCAGCAAAGGTTCCAGGGACTAGCGTGCCAAGCTACCAACACACGCATCAGAGAGAACTAGCGTGCCAAGCTACCAACACACGCATCAGAGGGTTGTGTTGTTCAGAGGGTTGTGTCGCATGTGTTTCGTTTCATATACATGTAAATTAAATCCAAATACAGAAAAAAGTTTTACATAAGTATTTTGGAACAACCCGCTTTCTGTGCATGGATCGCTGTGCATTCGTGTGTGGGTTTGGTGACCCGATTCGTACTTGTAATTTGTTCTATCTATAGCCAATCAGATGTCTCCTCCATTACATTACATTACATATTACATGTTAGACGCTTTTATCCAAAGCGACTTACATACTCAATACTGTGGACAATCCCCACAATTTGGGGTGAAGTGTCTTGCCCAGGAACACAACGACATGCTGACTGCAGTGGGGTTTGAATCTTGTGCTCCCCTGATCCGAACACCAACGCACTAGTCCACTGCGCCACAGCCTCCCCATTCTAATCACATGAGCGCGCCCCCACGAGGGTATGATTTATTGCGTTCATGACGTAGCACCTCATATACGCATTTTGCGCTGTCCAGAGCTGACAGGTCCATGGAGCCTGCCTGCAGGCGCTAATCTCAGGACTGAAGGACCGTATTATAGTCGTCTTTATTTTTATGTTATTATTATTCAAAGATAAATAAGGAAGTGTGTGTTATATGAGATGGCAGAGAGGATTCAGCTCAGATTATTAAATCAAAGAGGCTTAATGTTTTCTATTATATTATTTCACTATAGCTATGTGGACAGTGTCAAGGTCCAATGTTGACAACATTAATCAATAGCAGGTGTAACTAAAATACAAGATGTCTTTATTTATATATATTATTAATAATAATAATAATAATAATAATATAAAAGATTGTATTTGCGTGCATTTCCTGTTCAGAAAGTGGCGCTGTACTGAGAGTGGCGATTTTATTTTGTAATTATATAATTATATAATAGCCTACTTGTAATAGTGGTGCGTTCACGATGGACGCGATGCGAATAATCGCTCGAGTTTCACGGCGGCTGTCAGCTGTGTTTACTCGCCTCATTCATCTGAGTCAGCTTCTCGAGCCGTATCTGGCCGTGCAACACTTACATTGACACATACTGTATGCCGAAGTGTTATTTTAAACATTAAAGTGGACCTATCATGCTATATTTAAATGATATATTGTAGTGCCATACCTATATAAGGTATATTCATACGTTTCTGTTTTCAAAATACCAAACAGATCATGCATTTTAGACATGCCTCATTTCGCTCTATTTGCTGTTCTCCAGCCCTGTTTTTGCAGGGGGCTGGTTCTGTGAGCTGCAGCTGACCACGCCGCCCTGCAGGAGAGGGGAGCCGCTCTGATCAAGTCAGAAGGGGGGGAGAAAAACAGATCTCCGTCCTCCGTGTTTTATTCTTTTATGATTATATAGAGTCGTTATTCATTTGTTTTAAAGCTCAATAAATAACAAAGAAGACCTTTGACCGGCACTTTTCTAATTTTGTCCGGAAGATTTAAACTTTAACGGACATGTTGACCGGCGAAAAAAAAATCGAACTGAAACTCTGCCGCACGGTCCCCTCGTTCCTTGGAAGAGGCGGAGAGGTGGGTTTTTGTCATCTGCTGGTGGACTAACCGGAGAGAATTACAGCAGCGGGAGCAAACGCTTGCCTCGGGGAGGGAGAAAAAAAGCCACAGCGGAGAATAAACAGAAGGGTAACCATGGCAACCATGCGCAGGAAGTCTTCTTTGCTGCTTTTGTGGCAGACTACAGCGCCACTTACAGGCCTGGCATATGTACTACAGCGTCTCCAGCGCTTTCGAGCGGCAATGGCCGGCCTTGGCCCAACCCCACATTCCCCGATAGGTGGAGAGTTGGCCCAATAGCCGTAGCGCCACCGTCCTGACGTCAGTAACGTGTTCAAATCTGGATCAGTTTTTATCAGATCCATTGCAGCCCCTTTTTTAGAGATTTGGGTATGGAGGAAAATAGAGAGGGTTGTGTTTTCTGACACTTGGTGAGTTCCCTGGAACACCGGGGACACATATTCATGTATAAAAGACATACAAAAGTGCATTTTGCATGATAGGTCCCCTTTAAGTTCACTGAAAAAATTGTTATGTTGAATTTACTTAATTTTATTAAGGTAAGTGGATGCACAAAACAAAGTTATCTAAATCCAGATTTATTTTTTAAGTTCACTGTACTTATTATTTTTGAGTAATTTCAACTTAATTATACTGATAATTTTCAGTTAAACTATTTTGAGTAATTTCAATTTAATTATACTGATAATTTTCACCTCAACTATTCCGAGTAAAATGTACTCACTAAACCCATGTTAAGTATACTAAAATGGATTATGTAACAGTAACCTTTTTTCTTTTTGTACATTCAGATCAATTCAATAGTTTAATTTCTACATACAAAAATTAAGTTGAATTTAATTAAACATTTTCAGCCATTATTACTATGTTAACTTTCAATATATTAAAATAAAAAACAAACATCATATTTGATACATACTCTTACTTTATTATCTTGTACAAAATGACGTAACATGAAGCATGTGTCTTACACAAAACATCTTCTGATTCGAATAAAACATGCAACTGTCATGGCCTCCACCGTGTGTGAGTGTGTCCACAATCCAATCACCTCTGCTATAAGACTCCGGCCCTGACTCCTCCACTTCGCCATATCGTAGACTCTGTAACCACAGCTTCAAGCCAGCCTGACTCCTATCCTGTCTCCAGACCACCTCTAACGTTGGACCCTGTCCCGCTCCTCCAGGCTCTTCTCCCTGCACTCTCCAACTTGGTCAGACCTCCGTTCCCCTCTCCCTTGGACTCAGTCTAGCTTCCCTGGCCCAGACCCCCCTGCCTACTGCCCAGTAATATTCAATAAACGTTATTATTTTGCTTGAAACTCTCTGCTCCTGGGTTCCCTGTTAGCCTTAACAGTACAATCTGGCCACTGTTAAGGCTAGCAGGGAACCCAGGAGCTGAGCAGAGACAGGAGGCAGGAGTTTCAAACACAATAATAACGTTTATTGAATATTACTGGGCAGGGGGGTCTGAGCCAGGGAAGCTAGACGGAGTCCAAGGGAACGGAGGTCTGACCAGGTTGGAGAGTGCAGGGAGAAGAGCCTGGAGGAGCGGGACAGGGTCCAACGTTGGAGGTGGTCTGGAGACAGGATAGGAGTCAGGCTGGCTTGAAGCTGCAGGCACAGGAGACGTGACTGACTGTGGTTACAGAGTCTACGATATGGCGAAGTGGAGGAGTCAGGGCCGGAGTCTTATAGCAGAGGTGATTGGATTGTGGACACACACACGCATGGGGAGAGACAGACTAGGCAGAGGTGGAGGCCATGACAGCAACAAAGTGCAGTGGAAACAGACAGAGAATAAATCCTGACGTAACATGAAGCATGTGACTTACACAGCTGAGGAGAATATAACCTACACATTAATACATGTAATATTTTTACATTCTTCTCCAGAACTAGATGTAAATTGCCAATATAAAAAATAAAATGTTTTACGCTTGGCTAAGGTAGAAAAAGTTGCCGTTTCGATAAAAACGAAATGCAACAAAGTGCAGTGGAAACAGACAGAGAATAAATCCTGACGTAACATGAAGCATGTGACTTACACAGCTGAGGAGAATATAACCTACACATTAATACATGTAATACATGTCTTCTAAGTCCATCAACATTTCCACATTCTTCTCCCAACCTTTGAGGTTTGACTGGTGTTTTTGTAATGCTTTAGTGGCATCGGTTCACAAGAGCGGCTGAAGAAATCCTACAGTCCAGCATGTATCTTGTTCTTCAGTCCAAGGACTTTGGGGGAAAGCCTTTCACCATCCATTTGCAAGAGCACTTTCTGAATGAATTCATAGTAGTACCTTAGCTCTTTGGGGTAAGCCATGTTCAGTGTATAGATGACTCCCAGCATGATGGCACAAGCTCGGGCTACAGATCCAATGTTGTCCAGAATGATTAGTCCTTCAACAAAAATCCCAACGTCGTCATAATGTCCAGGTTCTCCACCATCCTTGTTGATGACGTATACGCCCATGGTAGATTTCTGCAGGTCTCTGGTGATGTCATCTCCTCCGATGTCCTGTATATTTAAAGAAAAAACATGTATTCATTCAATATATGTAATTTGAATGACATACTTTATCTTATACATTTTTTGTAATATTGCTCACATACCTATTAATCCCTTAAAACAAAGCTGGTCATACTGTATATATTTCTGAATCAAACTAAATATGTGTGAGGTGTTTTTAAAGATTTACGTACGACCCAATAAGCTTGGTGATGAGTGTCAGAAGTCAGAGAGGATTGACAGGTGGACTAAGACATTGTTGATTATGGTCTTTCCATTGGACAATAAGAAAAACAATGAATAAAGCCAACCTCATCGTATAAAGAAACAAGGTGATGGTTTGAAATGCTTTAGTCTGTTGATGAATATCAACATTCATACATATAAATATGCTCAACCTTCATGCTTCTTATAAGGTAAAAAAGAATTATCTAAAATTGATGCCTGACACTAGGATCTTAAAACACTACATGTGACTGGCAAATGCAATTACAATGACTCACCATATACTCCCGAATGAGATGTCCATCATCCTCACCAAGGTGGATGCAAAGTGCCTTGAGGATTGCTTCCCTTTTAAGGTTAACATCACTTGTTGCCTGTGTAAAAAAATTACAATTAAAATATTTCTAAATACATCAATAATAACAATATTGCAATGACTTCATTATACATGTAAATGGACTGACCTAAAGTATGTTAAAGAATTGTGACTTAAATGTATTACAATGTCAGAGGTCTGAATGTGTTAGGGCGATAGCACTGTTTACTAATTCTACTCATCCAGGGACTTTTCACCAAGAGCAATGCTCTGTTCTTCACAGTTCACACCTGGAATCTGCCAAGTACAAACACAGTCTGATCTGTTGGCCACTGAGGATTAAGTGACTTGCTCAAGGCAGGTTCTGCTTTTTCACTTTCCCCACCTGGGGATTGAACTTGCACCTTTACAGTCACAAGCCTGCTTCTCTAACCAGTATGCCACCATTGCATTATTAAGATCAGATTTCCTTAGAAAAGTGTCTTGCATTCTTGCACCTGGCAAGTAATCCAGGCTGTTGTTAGGCAAATGGGGCTCTATACGGTACTAGACTGGTACATTTCATAAAATTGCTCCACAGAGTATATGACAATTTGTATAAAACAGTGTATACACACATTTACCTTTTGCAAAATCGCCAGATGTTTGGCTAGTTTCTGGCCAACAACTCCTCCCTTCTTCTGGAAGACAGATGTCAGCTGAGGTAGATGGCTGTCCAACTGCGCCATGAAGGCCGTTTCAAGTGGGATAGTTGTTATGCGCTGGAATTCAGCATGTATCTGTTATGCAAAAACAAAACGACAGAAGACAAAGAGCACATTCAGCCATTGGTGTAATGATATTTTGTATCTACTATATAATTAAAGGATAGATTCTCATTTTGACCTCTTTAACCAAGTCCTTGATGAGATGTGTATTGGTGTACAGTGTGTTCTAACCAAAGTATTTCTATTAATCTAAGGTAATTGCAAGGAATTAAAACTAGACCTGTAAGCTGTATGGTTGTTTAAACCTTGCTAATACTTTTTTTAATTGACAATGGGTAAAATGTTGAGGTATAAAGTGAAAACCCCAATTCCAGCAGCAGCTGTTTTCTTCAGACAATCAAACAGCAGACAGATACAGTTAGAGAATAGCTGGTGAGGAAAGCGGAACATTGAGCAGCTAAAGAGCCAAATACTTTACTAAGGAGTTGGTGGAGAGCAAAAACAGAGCTAAAAGATAGTGAATATTGGACTTATCAGATGGACAGAAACACCATTTCAAATGTATGATCATGTTGCTCTGTATCAGCTCAATGTGTACGATAAATAGACATTTCACCATACATTCACCATGTGAAATATATAACTTACCTCATCAATATGGAAAAGTGCAGGCCACCTGGCTTTGAACTCTCCAGCAGATAGATTTCCCTGCACCACCTCTTTTCTTCTGTAGGAGAATGTTTTGGACATCTTCTGTTTTACACACGGTGCATTGCTTCTTTGTCTGACATCATTCAATAGTTCAAGTCTCAGATTTTCTAGGCTTTCATCTGTTTCGCCAGCAGGGTGTGAAGGACAATAGTTGACTTCAGCCTTTTTAGGTTTCTTTACATTTTTGGCTGGGATGCATTCATCACTTGATTTGTTTTTCAAAGCATTTACAGTCACTTCTGGACAGCCAAGGTTTCGCATCTTTGTCCTGTAATTAGCCATTTTATATTTTAGGCTAATCATCCAGCCATAGTAACCAGTGGCAGATGGTTCTTTCAAACAGGGACATTTTTGGACGAGTGCCCCTGCTACCTCCTCTATTTGGAGATTTTGTGGATATGCCGTATACTGGAAAATGTCCTCGGCTAGCTTCTCCAAGATGTCCGATTTCAGCCCTGGTGTGATCTGCAGTCGAGTGCCAGTTTCTCTGAAGCTCTCATTTCCACGTCGAAGCTGCACCTCTACATTGTATGGAAAGAGAGGAATGGGGAATTTGCGTGGCCATGCACGTGTTCTCAGTTCAGTGTCTGTACGTGGCAGAATAATGGTGCTATCCGAGTTTGTTGAGGATAATGACGACACACTGGAAGATGTTTGCCTGCTTACTGGTGCTCCAGATGATCCAGGAGTGCTGGGAGCATTCTGCACTGAAGAAGATGGACTCGAACCCACATCATCAAGTATGTACACCACCTTGATCGTACTTCGGTCCTGTATGTCTTGTACTGATGTAACATTCATGAAATCATTATTGAAGTCAGGATCCATGAACTGAATACGAAAGTCTCTTTCAATTCCAAATGCTTGGCAAATTGTATCGTGTAACTCTGTCAGAGTTTTTGGCATTCCTGAATGGAGATCAAGTCTTCTACAGTCATCCGTGTCCACAATGACCCTCAACTTCAGATGTCGTGCCATTCTTCAATCTAATTGTTAAAAGACACAAAACAACATGTTGTTAAATAAATATTTGACAATGTTGTTACTTAAGTATACACTTTTATTATGAACAAAGTTAGAGTAGGTAAGTTTAATTAACATGCACATTTCTATAATACATGGCATCATGAGGGTAATTTAGCTAAGGAAGACGTCAGAGGACTGGATACCTTCCATAAAAACATTCCCACAAGGATTATAGTTTCAATTTGACTAAAAACAAAATTAATCCTCCTGTAAAGCAACCCTCTTGTTACCATATTTAGTGTCTTAATGTCAACTCATGCAACACATGAACACAACACAAATGACTGTCCTAACCTTTTATGTGTATGAATCGTTTAAGTGTCACCATTCGCCGTCCTCCAATCCTGTAATCTGCCAAGGGGTACTGGTCTACCAAGGCGCCAAGTTGAATGAGAGAGACTTGTGACGTGGGACATAACTCAAATGCCCTAAAATGCTCCCTATACCAAGCACTCAGCTCTTTAACAATAAAGCTCAAGCTCTGTTCCACAACAACCATCTGGATAACTTCTGCAAACTCTGGCAAGACACCAGCAGAGCCATGAGCAATAACCATACCCTCCCTGTAGTTCACTCCATTAACAGATGCATTCTTTGTGAGCTGAATGTGAGCAATATCAGGGTCTCTCAGCTGTAGGACCTTCTGTACATCCTGATGCAAAATATCAACAGAGACCGTTGAAACAGCTGAGACAGTCAGGCTAGACTTTTCAGTTGTGGCTGACTCCAAATGATATGCCATCATGAACTGATGCTTCACCGCCAGGGACAAGAGTATGTTTTTAAAGCAGCGTGTGTGGCGGACTACCTGCTTAAAAAAACTGTGTTTCGCCTCAAACCTCATTGTCCACATCCCAACTAGTGGGCCAAAAGACCGGATCATCTGTGGATAATGTTCCACAAAATGATGTTTGGGCAAGATCTTTATACCCGGAAACACCTCTTGTAACCTATGTCTATGGTCACAAATCTTGGCTTCAAGGAAAGCAATGGATTGTGTCGTGTGCACTGGTGCAACAACTAGTTCGACGATATCTTTAAGGTCCAAAACGACCTGCCAGGCTGGCTCATCTGGGGGCACCAACTGTCCAACCAAAAATGGAAGCAATCGCAAAAGACTCCAATTTTCGTGAGCATTTCCTCCAATAGTTTTCTTCACCGTGAATGCCCTGGGAATAGCATGAGGACGGTTACTCTTGTCTGTCCACTTGTAAGGGAATTTCTTAATGGACTCATTGAGATTCTCAAGGGTGAAATATCTTTTGGAAATGAACAAATTGAGGCAGTGTGCCAACTCGACTGGTAATATGCCTTCAAAGATGTCATGTGCAATATCTGGAGGGTAGCCAGTACAGACATTGAAATGAGAAAGATGTGCAGAGAAAACACAACTTCTTTTAACACCATAACAATGTTTTTGATTTTCCTGTGCTGATCTGACATGCGTTTCATGCATCTCCTTGCTTCGGAGAGTAAATGCACCTGAACTCACTTCCCTCTCCTGAATTTCAGACTTTTGTGCCACACAAAAACGGCAAATGTACCCACCTGAAAAACTCTCAAGAAATCCAGCTACTCCATGTGCTCCCAAATTGTCAGCTATGACACACTGTATTGTGCCCTTAACACAATCTCCAAGCTGTGCAATAAAAATACCTTGACTTTCCAAAATGACAAGATCCCTCAACAAGGGCTCTAGGACCCTTTCATAGCCATATGTTCGCACATCGTCAGACCTGCAGAGTAAGGCCAAATAAATAGAAGATAACGAAGAATGGCAACCTGGTGGTAAATTGCTGAGAGTCCAATAAACGCCACAGATCTTGTGCTTTTTACGAGATGTGCCAAGCGGATTACAAATCTCAAAGTCATCGACATACAAATTCAGTAACACTCGCAATTCACCTCCTGACAAAAAATGGTTATCCTTGAAAAACAAACCATCTCGAAAAGACTTGTATACCACTTCTTCTCCTCTATCCTCTGATATGAGTTGACTGTCTAATGCTTTGTTAAGAATGTGACCATCAGTGAAAAGCTGCTGCAAAAACTTTAATAGTGGAACATACTGTAGCGTTCTTTTATCTTTCTCATCCAAGATATATTCTATGGGTTCCACAACTTTAAAATTGTGTTTATAGTATTGCTTGCGTTTAAAGGATGTTGCCAAAGGACAACCTTTACCAATAGCCTTGTACACAGGATTAGATGTACACAGAGCAGATGCAAGTTCTTCAATGACCGACTGGTCAACTTGTAGATTGTAACTATTTAGTGTGTCATGGATCACATTTCTTGTACTACACAAAGATGCTGTGCTCAACAAATATTGAAATTCTTCCAGCAATTCATCAACTGCAGCACTTGGCACATGAAAAATATTTTCCAGCTTTAATAACACTGCCGCAATTTTTTGCTCTATTTCTGGCTGATCCTTCGACGTATCTAAATCAACATCATCAAACTGACTTTCATCGCAAATGTCCTCATTGTTTGAAACACCAGGCTCTCCAGTTTCACCTACACAAGTTCCTTGTACAACACCGTCCTTAAAATCTACCAATGAATGCAAGCTGTGCTTCCGTCTTTTGTGTGACTTGAAGGTGCTGTATATGTTGGATTTGTATGCACAGCCTTTAAACATACAAGTGACTGTCTCATTGTTTCTCAGATGATGGCTTATGTGCACAAAATAATCACGTTCTGTTCCGAGTTCACTACAGCCACATAGATGACAGGAAAATGTAGTAAATATGTCAGCAGAGGGCTTTGAGGTATTGGTGTGATTCCTTGACAAGTGTACCAAAAGAGTATTCCAAGCCTTAAAAATGCATGGACAATCAGGATATATACACTTAATATGATGGCCACGCCCAAAATGACTATGTTTTAGTCTGTAATGTTTGAGAATTTGTGATCGCTTAGACACTTCAGCGCCACAGTCTTTACACTGCCACATAAACTAGACAAACACCAAACGTGATTTCATATGTTTAGTTGTGTCCTAATATTACCACAGTGATAAGAATAAAATAAAACATACTTACAGTCGGTCAGGAAGACAGCATGGCCAGTATACAAGCCGGGCAGCGGGGAAGTTGAAGCTACAAAAAAAAAAAGCCATAGGAACAGGCAGTTTAACATTCAACTTGTATTAGCCAACAACTAATAATAAAGTCTAACAAGACAAAGATTGAATTTAACACGTATTTAACTTGAGAGCAGTATTAAGTTATCTTATAATGTTAATGATGCATGTTACACTTCATTTAAATTACTTAAACATTACTACACAACTAAGCTAGGCTAACAGTTAGCTAGCTGCTGTAGGCCTACGTTAACGTTTGCTAATGTTAATCTATCAAAAAGCTACCTATTTAAGTATAATATAATACACCCAATGCTATAAATTAGCTAGCCTACTTACTTAAAACGGAGAGCCGTGGAGAATGTTCACCTCACGACAGCGGAGCTATACACAGGCAGTCCTGTCCTTCCGATTCCGATCGCTTAGACACTTCAGCGCCACAGTCTTTACACTGCCACATAAACTAGACAAACACCAAAGAGAGAAAAGGGGGGGGGGGAATCAAACATTAGTGATGGTGTTTCACAGTCACCTTTGGGTCATGGTGATCTACAAATAATTTGGATCTCTAAGCAGAGTGAACTAAACGAAAATCCTAATAGTTTGCTCAAAACTTGAAGAGTAAGGAATTTGTTTGATAAATTGACTTACCAAAACAACATGAGGTCCCCAAAGAGTAAGGTTCTGTTCTACATCACACCAACATCAGATAGAAAAACCTGCAATAAAAATAAAGATGAGCAGAAATGAAAAATAATAATGGTAAATGAAAAAAGGTAATTGATTGCTAATGATTACTAACTTGTGTTAGGCCAATGACTCAAAATCCTACAAAATTCTTTGTGACAAACAATGTTACGTTTTTCTTTTTAAATAGAGCCTAAATATTACTGGATGTGGTGCACTTTTGCTAAATGTTTAGACAAATTGCCTGTGTTACCACCCTTACATGCTAAACTGTTATTGCACTTGATGGCACCTTTTAAAAAGGGAGAAGCTTTTCTTTCATTGTACATGTATAATGACATTAAATGATTATATTGTAACGTTCCACAATAGGAGTCGGAAACAGGCCACACACACACACACACACACACACACACACACACACACACACACACACACACACACACACACACACACACACACACACACACACACACACACACACACACACACACTCTCCCCCCTTTGCTCCCCCAACCACAGGCCCGCACGCCGACCAGCATTACTGTGCCGCTCTGTGATTGGCAGAGAGCCGGGGGATGCTTGAGTGACCCACACAGCACCCTATACCGGGTCGTTACAATATTCTATTCCATAGCCAAAACCAATCAATTATTTCTCACTTTTGGCAAAGAGTCCACCTCAAGACGGGTAACATTTAAACACACCTCGGAGCGCTTAGTTCTCTCTCCGCCGTGTGTTGAATGCATGTAGCAGCCGCCTGTGTGTAAACTGCCCCGCCCCCTCGCACACAGACGGGGCACGGGGGAGAGAAAGATCTCTCGTCTGGATTGGAAAGATCGAAAATACATCATAGACGCATTTTGTCTTATAGCATATTATATACGGTGTTGGCGAAACTAAGACTACCCCCCCTCCCCCCTAGTTCGGGGGGGAAAGTACTCCGGTCCGGTGTGAAAGCGCTTATAAGACCAAGATATGAACGTTAGCCGCGGTAACATTAACCCCTTGCCGCCAGAGAGTAACGTTACCAAAAGCACCCTTACCAACGTGATTTCATATGTTTAGTTGTGTCCTAATATTACCACAGTGATAAGAATAAAATAAAACATACTTACAGTCGGTCAGGAAGACAGCATGGCCAGTATACAAGCCGGGCAGCGGGGAAGTTGAAGCTACAAAAAAAAAAAGTCATAGGAACAGGCAGTTTAACATTCAACTTGTATTAGCCAACAACTAATAATAAAGTCTAACAAGACAAAGATTGAATTTAACACGTATTTAACTTGAGAGCAGTATTAAGTTATCTTATAATGTTAATGATGCATGTTACACTTCATTTAAATTACTTAAACATTACTACACAACTAAGCTAGGCTAACAGTTAGCTAGCTGCTGTAGGCCTACGTTAACGTTTGCTAATGTTAATCTATCAAAAAGCTACCTATTTAAGTATAATATAATACACCCAATGCTATAAATTAGCTAGCCTACTTACTTAAAATGGAGAGCCGTGGAGAATGTTCACCTCACGACAGCGGAGCTATACACAGGCAGTCCTGTCCTTCCGATTCCGAATGGAAAATGGAGGGAAAAGTGGCGGTCTGCTTGTGTATGCACATGCGCAGACAGGACAGTATTATGTGGTAATTAAATGGTACATAATTTTTTCTAATTATTTTTAAATGAATGAAATGAACTTGTTTTAAACAGTGACAAAATATGTTAAGATTAATT